GCTTTGGAAAGGAGGTTCGCAGCACCCTGAGGGAGGCGGCGAACCAGCTGAGCAACAAACTTTCGCACGCTCAGCACCTGGACGAGGTCACATGGACCACCAAGAACTGGCACGGGCTGCAGATGCAGCGCTTGTCTGTCGTCCTCCACACCGCCGTGGCGTGGCAGACGGTGAACGAGCTAGCGTGCGGGGAGAGCGGCATTGTGCATGGTGCGGAGTGCATTGCCGTTCTTAACGGAGTCGCTTAGGCGGCTCCGGTGGTGAGCCTGTGTGTGTGCCAGTCCGCGCCAGTCTGCGCCCTTGTCGTGCCAGTGTGCTGTGAGAGAGGCTTGTATCTTAAGAATTCTTCTTCGCACCTCTCACGGCAGCGCGTCTCGCCTGTGGCTCGCTCTTCGGCCACCCTCCGGTCGCCACAAAAGCCTCCCCGCCCGCACCCGTGCCACCCACCCCGTCCGCCCGACCTCCCCACCTTGCCCCGCCGCAAAGCCTCGCGTCCGCACGGCCAGTTCTGACGCGCCCGCGCCCCTTGGCCCCCATGCAGGGCGAAAACCAAGCGGTCCGGTCTCGGGCTTGAGGATGTCAAGCGCAGCAGCAAGCGTCTCGGTACAGCTCGGACTCGAACGACTTCGCCTACAGCCGCGAGACGGGTGCAGCGGCCCGGCGAAGGAGGGCAGACGCCAGATTGGCAAGCAGGCCGACCGCACGGCGCCGTTCTGGGTCGACTATCTTGCCCGCCTTCCGCCAGCTGCAGGCCCTGTCCGAATGCCCGGCGGTGGTCACGTTTGAGCAGGGCCACCAGTCGCTCCCCGACCGCGTCTACACGGTGCTCGCGCGGCTGGCGGAGCACCAGCCGACCGTGATGTTTGTCCGCGTCGACTGCTCGACTGCTCCGAGCGAGCGGTTCGACAGCCGCACCGCCAACGAGCTCGAAGAGGAGCTGCCGCTCTCCGGCCGAGAGGAGGACGCGGTGCCGCCGCACCTTCTGGCGCATCGCGTGCAGCGAGATGACGAGCAGGCCGAGGTCGACCTCGGACAGCACCTGTGAGACCGATTGGCTGGGGATTGAGCAGGCGAGAGGAGCAAGCCGAGGTCGAGACTCGGAGAGCACCTCTGCGCCGGCGGCGAGCGAGCGGAGGAGGAGCCGCTCCGTATCGCGCAGCACGAGCCGCACCTAACCAGCGGCTCGAGCGATCCACAGGGATGGGACTGAGGGGCAGCGGCTCTGTGCCGCGCCTGCTTGAGCAGAGAGGCGCGAGAGCGGCGGCGCGAGCGCAGCTGCCGCACGACGGAGCGCAGCGTCGTCACTGCGACCTATGTGTCATGTCACTGGATTCGGGTACCGGGTTGGTGGGGTACTGCGCCGCGCACCGTCGTGACTGCGACCGCGAGGGCTACGGCGCCCGGCAGCATCGCCGACATCGTCGCGGTGAGCGAGTTTTGTGCCATGAGGGTGTCCATCGCGCCCATCTGCACGAGCAATCACCCGAGGTCTACCCGAGATTCCCCGAGATCGCCGCGAGATCGCCCGAGATTACCCGAGAGCCCCTCCCCTCGCGCCCACCACCTGCACGAGCAGCTCGCGCCGCATGTACTGCGTCTGGATGAGCAGCAGCTGCAGCAGCGGCCCGCGCGCCATCGAGTATACGGGCGACTGCATCTGCTGCTCGAAGAGGAGCGACATCGCCTCGAGCTCCGCGGCCTCCGCCTCGTCGGGAGGCATCCTAAGTCCGAAGGTTCCTGGAAGGCTCCTAGAAGGCTCCTGAGTGAGAAGGGGAGCGAGCTCACCACCGAGGGGCTCCTCCGCCTCGTGCGCGAGTCTCGGGGACTCTCGGGGACTCTCGGGGACTCTCTCGGGAACTCTCGGGAAATCTCGGGGAATCTGGTGCGGGAAGGGCGCCCGTCCGTGAAGACGGGCGTCGCGCCGTACCCGCTCGCCCACCTGACCACACCACCCGGAGTAACGCGGTATGGGTGTCCATGACTGGAGAGGCGCTCCAGCCGAGCGTCGGCTGCTTCGCTCGTGGAATGGCAGCCCACCGAGGCGCCCGCCGACCCCGCAGAGCCGGTGCCGCACGCGCCGCGCGGGACTATCACCTATAGCTTTTGGGGGTGGGGAAGTCCCGCGATTCTTTTCGGATGCTGTGCCTTTTGTGGTGCTAGTTCGTGCCAGTCTGCGCTGTGAGAGAGTCTGCGCCCTTGAATTCCGAGTGTTAGTGCCAGTGTGTTGGAGAGTGTGAACTCAAACCTACTTCCTGACCGTAGTCTGACCGTCCTTGTGTAACCGTCTCATGTTTGGTTTGTCCTGCCGCGCACATTGTCATGCTGTTGGGTTTCTCCTGCCGCGCACATTGATTGTCATCGACTTGTATCCGCGACTTGGTGGCTGTGGTGATGTAGCGATGGTGTGGGTCTCTAGTGACCTATACAGCTCCTCCGTGTTCCGTCTCCTGACATGGTACCGACCGGTGAGTGCACGGAGTGAGCAGTGCGGCACTGAGGCCGACATGAGAGCTGGTGCGGCACACAAGCGAGATGTGGTTGCCGCACAGCATTTCCGGCTTACGCTCGATACGTTGGCTGGCACCATGGGCACCTGCGCGAGCCGTGGTGATTGGCTGGGCACAGAGGCTCGGCGCACGGTGGCACAGCGGCCGCCAACTGCTCGGCACGGAGGCTGAGCAGAATGAGTACAACCGCAACATCAACTTGGGTGCTTGCGGATCTTCTGCGACAGAGCGCATCTCCGCCAGCACTGCGGCTGTGTGGACACGAGTATCCCCTCTTGCTTCTCCTTACCGGTCCGTTCTCCTCGCCTACGGACCACCATCGCAGCTGCTGCCTCCGCTACCAGCTCTCGGGCTGCTGCAACGGCAGTTACCGCAAAGATCTCGCACCGAATGTGGACCCTGCCTTTCGCCGCCGCTACTTCCGACGTCGCCGCTCGACACGACCGGAGCTGTACGCGATGAACACGCGACGATCGACACGCCCTCTCTGCCTTGTGTGGCGATTACCACGTCGTGGGGGAGTGTTGGGCATCTGTTCGACGTGGCAATGCCACTCTACCTCATTGCTGTCTCTTCCTCGTCTCGCCTCCTCGCGCTAGCCCGTCCCGCTGTCCAACGCCTCTGGCAAGAAGTCCAATGCGCCTCTACGAGCGCCTCTGCCGTCTGGACGTCTGAGACTGAGCCTGCCATCTCCGACGTCGGCGGCCCGTGGCGCAACATCAACGTTCGGGGCATTGAAGATCGTCCTCACGTCCCTGATGCGCTCATCCGCGTCAACGCGGCGAGGCCTCCCAACGGCCCAATCGCCGCGCCGCAAGGGGGCGCCCCCGCTGCCGCTCCCGCGCCCGCCGCGCCTGCCGCGCCCGCTCAAGCCGCCGCCCCGCGACGCTCAGCCCGGATTGCAGCTCGCGGCGCGCCATGACCGAGCTCCACAACGAGCTCCTGTTCATTATCTCCCCTTTCTCTCTCTCCGCCCACTCGGCCGCGCTTTGACCCCTTCACTGGATCATCTTAGCGCGCAGGTCTTGCCAACAAGCAAGACCATCCTTCGCGAAGACGCAAGGTTGGACGCTTAGCCAGCCCCGCGAGACGCCGGCGGGTAACCGGCATACCTACGCTCAGACACATTCACACTCTGCTGTTGTTGTCTGCCGCATCCTCATTCATGAAGACTGCGGAGACAATGGGGGAGTGTTGGAGAGTGTGAACTCAAACCTACTTCCTGACCGTAGCCTGACCGTCCTTGTGTAACCGTCTCATGTTTGGTTTGTCCTGCCGCGCACATTGTCATGCTGTTGGGTTTCTCCTGCCGCGCACATTGTCATCGACTTGTATCCGACTTGGTGGCTGTGGTGATGTAGCGATGGTGTGGGTCTCTAGTGACCTATACAGCTCCTCCGTGTTCCGTCTCCTGACACAGTGCGCGCCAGTCCCGTGCCCTGTGTTGTGCGAGGGAGTTTTTGTAAAATTCTTTTCGCAGTTTCTTGTAAAATTCTTTTCGGAACGGCGCGTCTAAAGCGAGCAGCCGCGTCAAGGTGTGCAGGACGGGGATGGAGCGGGAGCTGCGCGCCGCCTGCCGAGCCGGTAACCTGCAGCGCATGCAAGAGCTGCACGGGCAGGGCGTGACCCTCACCGCCGCCATCAACAACGGCGTGCAGCCCATCCACGACGCCGCAGCGGGCGGCCACCTCGACGTCGTGAAGTGGCTGCACGGGCAGGGCGTGCCCCTCACCGCCGCCGACAACGACGGCTGGCAGCCCATCCACTTCGCCGCTAAGAACGGCCACCTCGATGTCGTGCAGTGGCTCGTCGGGCAGGGCGTGTCCCTCACTGCCGCCACCAACGACGGCCGGCAGCCCATCCACTTCGCCGCAGCGGGCGGCCGCCTCGACGTCGTGAAGTGGCTGCACGGGCAGGGCGTGCCCCTCACCGCCGCCAACAACGACGGCGGGCAGCCCATCCACGCCGCCGCACGCTACAGCCACCTCGACCTCGTGAAGTGGCTGCACGGGCAGGGTGCCGATGCTGCGGTGACGGTGACGGGTGGCCCGTTCGCTGGCGACACGCCAGCCGCCTTGGCTCGGGGCGGGGCAGGCCGAGCCGAGAGCAGGTGGTTTTGGGTCGTTGATGGACTGAGCAACCACGCGACTAAGAGGGGCGGAGAGTTACCGTCCGCGCATCTGCTGAATCTCGTTGCAGCGCGGCATCTTGTCGTTGGGAGCGAAGCCGCCGCCGGCGAGGTTGCTCGTGTATGGCACGCCTTAAAGGGGGGTGGAGTATTCGCGAGGGATGGTGAATTCGTTGTGAGTCATTAACTAGGCCACTCATTGTGAAATCGGTTGCTCGAGTACGGCACGCCTAGGGGTGCGCGCAATCTCGCGCAATCTCGC